ATGAAATGAAATGAAATGAAATGAAATGAAATGAAATGAAATGAAATGAAACGAAACGAAAAAAGATAAAGACCCGGGCTCTGGAATTAGTCATGAAGGTTAGAATTCTGCATCTTACTAGGGGTATGATATTGGGCACTTTATTTAAATTCTCTAGGAGTCAGTTATCTCATCTGTAAAAATGGAACTGTTAATAGATCTAATTTCAGAGGGATTTTTGATTAAATGAAATAATGCATGTAATGCTCTCGGTACAGTGTTGCCTCTAAGCACTCAGAAAGGTTAGTCACCTTTTTTGTCTAAGTCAGGTTTATTAAAGTATTATTAACATACATAGTCACTGTTTTAATAGTACATTAAAAAATTTTTTTTTTCAACGTTTATTTTTTTTGGGACAGAGAGAGACAGAGCATGAACGGGGGAGGAGCAGAGAGAGAGAGAGAGAGACACAGAATCGGAAACAGGCTCCAGGCTCTGAGCCATCAGCCCAGAGCCTGATGCGGGGCTCGAACTCACGGACCGCGAGATCGCGACCTGGCTGAAGTCGGACGCCTAACCGACTGCGCCACCCAGGCGCCCCAATAGTACATTAAAATATTACATTATTCAAATAGTTCAGGAAGCCTTTTTTCTGGAAGTTGACATTTTTCAAAATAAAAAAGTTGGCGGGGGGTGGGGGGAGATGATGGTGCCCTTGGTAGGCTAACAGGCCTCATTGTGGGAATAATCTGTGATCACTCTGTGCAAACCAGAAGGGGGCAATGGTGTTAGGAAATAAAATTTTGAAGTTTGCAAGATTTTATAGGAGTGGGTTGGTAGAGGAGTGAGGTCAGGCTAGGAGGTGTGCTTCAATAGGAGACGGCAACTTCCAGGGATTAGAAAGAGTGGTAGAAAACAATGCTCTGTAGAAAGGCAAGTGAAAATTTAGAAAGAAGAAGAAGATTTAATTTTAGGCCTAGCCACGAAGCATAGTTATGTTTAGTACGTCCAGGGGAAAAGTTAGAAATAAAGAAAAATATATTGGGGCACGTGGGTGACACTGCTGGTTGAGCATCCGACTTTGGCTCAGGTCGTGATCTCACGGTTCATGAGTTCAAGTCCCATATCAGGTTCTCTGCTGTCAGCACAGAGCCTGCTTTGGATCCTTTGTCCCCATCTCTCTCTGTCTCTCCCTGTGGTTTTCTATCTCTGTCAAAATAAATAAATGAACCTAAGAAAAAAAAGAAATAAAGAAAACTATATAATTGCCACTAATATATAATTGCCCCATAATATATAATTGCCATCTACTCAGGGAATATAAACAGAAACAATGGGTTAGGTAGTGGAATACAGTTCTGGGGAACTCTCTTCAAAATTCCAAAAGGAATTCTTATAGAACTCAGGCACAGATGAAATGTATGGGAAATTAAAACTTAGTCATTATCAGGGAAGATTGTTAAAATCTTATGTCCATATAAAATTCTAGTGTTGGTCAAAGCAATTTAAATAAGCAAAGCCCCATAAAAGAAGTTATATTTATAAAGGTATGTGACATTTCATTGTTGCACGATTGAAATATTTTTAGTGGAAATTCTTGCATTTGTTTACCTATGAGGAATAAGAAGATAAAGAGAACCTGTTTTTCTGGCAAATGGTTCACCTTTAGATTTGGATCTAATTTCCAAAGATTTCCATCTTTCCTATAAATGTTGTCACCATCAACATTATTTCGAGCACAGTGCTTAGCTCGATCACAGATACTAAAGTGTTCATAATATCTCATTTTTTAACATCAATATGAAATATGTCCTTAATTCACTTTATAATGTTACCAACACAACTTCCGTTATTCAGCCTACCATAGTATCATGTGTAATGCAAGCAATAGGTGCTTAATTAATATTTATTATTGATTTTATTTTTATTATTTTTTAAAACATTTATTATTTTTTTAAGTTTATTTATTTATTTTGAGAGAGAGAGAGCACAATCAGGGGAATGGCAGAGAGAGAGGGAGAAAATCCCAGGCAGGCTCTTTACTGACAGTGTGGAGCCCCACTCGGGGCTCAAACACACGAACCGTGAGATCACAACCTGAGCCCAAACCAAGAGTTGGATGCTTAACCGACTGAACCACCCAGGCACCCCTATTATTGATTTTTAAGTGAGATCTCATTAGCTACTAATACTGATTTTAACTTGGCTTTTTATTTTTAAGTTTACTTTACTTATTTTGAGAAAAAGAGAGAGACATAGCATGGGAGGGGCAGAGAGAAAGAATCCCAAGCGTGTCAGGGATTCTCTGTCAGTGTGGAGCCTGATGTGGGGCTCGAACTCACAAACCATGAGATCATGACCTGAGCTGAAATTAAAAGTCCATCACTTAACTGACTGAGCTACCCAGGCGCCCCTTAACTTGATTTTTTAAATCATTTTAGATTGAGTCAATCTCAGCTAGACTTGTCTACGATTCTCTTAAGCTTCCCTGTACCTCTGTCAGGAATGCACTTATAAAGGTTTGTAGCTAAGCTTCTCTTAGATACCTAGAGAGATGCTGCTGACAATTTCCCTTTCAATGAACAGACAGAAAAAGTAAGTCTACAGTTATTTTAATGTATCAAATTATTTTTGGCTTATATACTTTTCCTAGAAAATTTTTTTTTTCCAGAAAGAAGTTTAATGGTAGTGTTAAATGGTGAGCGATCGGAAATATTCTTCCATTTCCATTTATTCCATAAATTTTGGGGTCTTTGAGAGCACGAGGTCCCACAAATAGAATCCAATTGTAACCAAACACTTCAAATTTGGGTGAAGAAGGTATATTTAGAGGTCCTCAGAACCTATGAAATTTCAGACTTGTTATCCAGCACCTCCTCCCACGTTATTGGTTTGTGTTCTCCTGAAGTTCTTGTGCTGACATTTAAAAACACACTTGTTTCTGAAGGCAGAAAGATTTATTTTAGCTCCACTGACTAATGCGGGAGTGGGAGAACAAATTTGCTAAAACTTCCAAAAATAATTTATCTTTGGATAGATACCAAGTATGTGAAGTTTTAGACCAAGAATTTTTTTTTCTTTTAAAGTTTTAGAAAAGCATTTACAGAAACTTAGGATGAAAATGCATTTTGTAACCTTCATGAAAATCAAAGCTACTCCTTAGTTATTCTAGAGCTAATCTTACCTGATCTCTGCTCACTTCTGATCTGTAATCCAGCCAAGTTAGTTTTCAGCATTTTCATGGGTGGATTTCCTTATTTCAGAATAAACCAGAAGATGGGGCTTTAAGCTTTTTGTAGTGATCTCTCATTTAATTACATTCTAGGTATTTAAGAAGTAAAATTTTTGTTTCGTTT